AATGTTAGTACAAATTTGAATAAAATATTTGTATTTATAGAGTCAAAATATCCTTGAGGTCAATGTCCCGTAGGTCCAAAACATCAGAGTCGAAATATCCCATATTCTTACACGTTTCACCAACACGTACCCCTTCAAAGTCATCATGTTCCAAATTGATTTCGTTTTCCCAGGCTAGCTCTATCTCCCCCACTGTCTTTGTCATGGTCACCACTTTCTTCTAATCATCCAGATTAAAATTTGATGTCACACGGATGCTTGCCTCTCGAGATTTCAGCCTCTATATTCTATCAGTCAACAAAAACTGTTATTTTTTCTTTCACTGCATCTTTCAGATTCACTCTTTTTCTTTTTCCCCTACACCTGGTCCTGCTCTGTTGTGCTTGCTGCCAGACATCTCCACCTGCTCCCAGGGCCCCCCCAGGCCGCCTTGCAAACAAACACCTGCCGGGCTAAGCTTTCTGAAGTGCTGCTCCCAGCATGTTCTTTAATCAAGAATCTCCAGAGGCCGCGTGATGCTCACAGAACCAAGTCCCAGCTTGTCTGCATGTCTTTCAAATGCACGTCCTTCATTACCCACAGCCTCTGTGCCCATTCATTTTTTTTCTTCCTCAGTTTACCCCAGTGGTCCCACTTCATGACTGACCTCCCTGCCGACCACCGTACACAACGCGTTCCTGCTGCCTCCTGCCCTGCTCAAGCTGTTCCTCTGCCTGAAATTGCCTCCTTTGTGCCTTTCCATACCAGCCACCCCCCTCAACAAAACACTTGCTTTGTTTGGATTAATAGAGAAATAATTAATGCATGCCCTTTATAGAAAATTTGGACAATACAGAGGGAATATAAAAGTATGAATATTCTGATCCAGAAATAACTGCTATGAACCCCTTTGGTAAGTTTCTTTCCAGTCTTTTTTCTGTATATTGTTTTTTTTTTTTTAACCTAGCTGAGATCAGCCTATGTATATTACTTGTATCTTGCTTTTTTAGTTCTCGTTATAAACATTCTTTCTAAATATTATCTTTAATAGTTCCTAACTTTTATTATATGAATATTCCATAATTTTTTTTTTTTGAGGTAGAGTCTTAATGTCACCCAGGCTGGAGTGCAGTGGTGCTACCTTGGCTCACTGCAACCTCTACCTCTCATGTTGAAGCAATTCTGCTGCCTCAGCTTCCGGAGTAGCTGGGATTACAGGCACCTGCCACCATGCCCTGCTAATTTTTGTATTTTTAATAGAGATGGGATTTCACCATGTTGGCCAGGCTGGTCTTGAACTCCTGACCTCAGGTGATCCACCTGCCTTGGCCTCCCAAAGTGCTGGGATTATAGGCATGAACCATTGCACCCGGATGAATATTTCATAATTTGGCTATTCCCTTACTGTTGAAAATTGAGGTTTCCAAATTTTTATTTTTATAAATAATCCTGTGATGAACATCTTTTTATGTATACCCATGATGGCGTTTCTGATTGTTCTCATAGGTTAAATTTTGAGAAGTGGAACTGATAAATCAAGAGGTTGATTTTTTATAGCTACTGTCTAATAATGTTCCAGTTTTGTATAAATTTGCACTCTAACAGTATAAGAGCATTTATGACTTGTACTATAATTGTCAGATATTAAAATTTTGTTTGAATGAAACAATAATTGATTGTTCATTTGCATGTATTTAATTATTCATGAGGGCACACCTTTTTAAAATATGTCTATTGCTTTTCAGTTATATTCTCTTCTGTGAATTGTCTGTTCACATGTTTGTCTATTTTCCTACTTAGTTCTTATTGGTTTATGTGAACTTTATATGTTATGGATAAAAACCCTTTTCCTGTGCTTATATTTGTGGAAAAATGTTCCCCCAAACTGTTTTTTAATTCTGTAAATGTAAGTGATTTTCCTGTCATAATTCTTTTTAAAAATCTTACATAGGGCAGGGCATGATGGCTTACGCCTGTAATCCCAGCACTTTGGGAGGCTGATGAGGGTGGATTACAAGGTCAAGAGATCAAGACCATCCTGGCCAAAATGGTAAAACCACATCTCTACTAAAAATACAAAAAAATTAGCTGGATGTGGTGGTGCATGCCTGTAATCCCAGCTACTCGGGAGGCTGAGGCAGGAGAATCACTTGAACCCAGGAGGCGGAGGTTGCAGTGAGCCAAGATTGTGCCACTGCACTCCAGCCTGGGAAACAGCAAGACTCCGTCTCAAGAAAACCCCAAAATCTTACATACTCAAATATATCAATATTTCCTTTGTAATTTCTTCCATTGTATTTATATTTAGAACTTCCATTTACATATTTACTTAAAATTTCTTATTGGTTTTTATTATTTAAAATCACTTCTAGGCTATTTCACTTTACAGTGGTAACCAGATTAAGTTTTTTCCTCATATAGTCAAGCAATGCTTTTAATATTAATACCAAATCCTTTCCTTCTCACTGACATCAAAAAAATCACCTTTATCATATTGTAAATTCTATAGCGCTATGGTTCTCAACCTCGAATATACACCGGAATCACCTGGGCAACTAAAAACCACTGGTGCCTCGACCTCATTCCAAGAGCCTCTGACTTCATCGTTACGACATGCAGCCTGGACATGCGGAGGGTGCAGGGCAAGGCTTCCCAGGTGATTCTACCGTGCAGCTAACTGTGGCTAACATGTTTAGGACCTGGTTCTCATCCACGGCAAGCATCCAAATTGAAATGGAGTTTTAAACACCTCCGGCCCACCCTGGAGATTTTTATTCAGTTCCTCTGGGAAAGGGTCTGAGTGAAAGGAGTTTTAAAATCCTCACAAGTGATTCTCGTTACATCCCAGGCAGAGAGACTGTTGAGGTGTTATCTATCCCATTTCGTTCATGTGTTTGACTATCCTTGGGCTGATTTAATAACTTTGTTTTTATCACGAATTTCACTATCTCGTAAGGCAGTGTCCACTTACGACTCTTGAAAAATGGGTACGTATTAGCTTTTGCCTGTCTATGCTGCTACATCTGTGCTGCTCAAGCTTTCCCCTGGGAACTTGTCTAAGATACAAGGACCCAGGACCGCCTGAACATGAGGCTAGGCCCTGTTTTATTAGTGTTCCAGGCGATTCTGAAACACACCACATTTTGTCAATCACTGCCCTAGAATCTAGATCATCCTAGTAACTTTTCAAGTTAGAATAGAATCTTATTGGGCTCTTGATGAGATTTGCATTAAGCTTCCAATGCAGTGTGCAAGGCCCAACTTGAGAGTCACTTTCTCTGCAAGGACTTTGCTGCTTGCTGCAACCCATATTCATTGCTCACATCTCTAAGCCTTTAACTAGCAAACAACCAATTAATTGGCTTGCAATTCTCTCTTGCAATGGAATTTGGGACTACTAGCAGATAATATGCTCCTGGAGGGCAGGATGTGGCGTCTCTTCCACAGTTTCCAGTACGGCACTGGCCCATGGAAGGCACTCAGTAATGCTTACCTTCATAATTTCCACGAATTCATGAAGTTTATCAAAATCTTTGTTCAGTATGTCCTTTATCTGGCGAGGAAAAAAGGCACAGGATTGACAAAGCACAAAGCATATTATTGACGTTATTTGCGGCGTCTTCGGGGCATTTTAAGCAAACGGCAGCAGCTGCTCCTCTGGCACGGACTAATAATGGTCTGTGAGAGCCACTTTCCTCTCAAGGAGTCTGTGACGGAACTAGGGTGCGAGCGCCATGAAGCCACCACTGCCACCAGCCTTGGCGCGGCTTAGATCTGGCTACTGCAAGGCTGCATGTTGGGTGCAGACCACAGCTTCAATTACACTTTCTTGATTGATTATTCACCTGTTTTCCTAAGGATGCTACAGGTGGTTGGTTGTATCACAGAAATGAGAGGGTTTCTGCTCTGCAGCTTGCTCAGGGGAGATGCATAAGAACGATGGGGTTGGTCCCTGGCTGCCCCTAAATTTAAATTCCAAATCAGCCCCACTCACTCAGCTTCATCACTAACGTGACATCACCCACCCTTATCAAAGAGACACTTTAGGGGGTTCTCAGTCACTCAAAAATTGGGTTTAGGCATCAAACAAGTAAGAAGTGAGCAAGCTAACACTGAAGCGCTCTGGGGGTTGGGACTGAGTTACATTTTTCCATGTGATTCCTGCTTTCCTTCACTACAGGTATTGATCGACTTACGACCTATGCAACTTATGACCATTTGACTTCATGACCACAATCGCTAGCCACGACTGCCCCACGTCTGGCAGCACAAACGTTGCCCAGCTGGGCGTACGACAGTGCGGACCAGCTTCCGGCAGCACTACCATCTCCGCGTGCATATAGCCTACTCAATTTACGACCAAATCATGTTACAACCGGTCTGTCGGAACCAATCATGGTCGTAAGTCGAGCACTAGCTGTATCCAACGGTAAGGATTGCATTTTTCCCAAAGCTACACTTTTCCTCCATATGGAAGGCCTCATCTTGTTACCTGTTTTATCTCCTCCATTTTCTCCTTGAGCTCTTCTCTCACTTCCCTGAGTTCATTCTGAGGAAATAAAATGAAGGGGAGGAAAGGAGCATCTAGGATGGAGGGGAAAATGGCAACAGGAGGAAAGGAAAGTTGCTGAGGCATTTTCAGAGAAAAACTTCCAAGAGGGAGGAAAGAATGGGAGAGACCAGGCACACGGGCTCACACCTGTGATCCCAGCACTTTGGGAGGTCAAGGCGGGAGGATTGCTTGAACCAAGGAGTTTGAGACCAGCCCGGGCAACATAACCAGACCCTCCCATCTCAACATTAATTAATGTTTTAAAAAGACTATAAGACAGTAAGACCTATAGGGATCACATGTCTCTGCCAAAAAATGCACAGCCTGAGCCTTATCACAAGGAATCCACCAGACAAGGCCTAATGGAGGGTTATCCCACAACATAAGTGATCTGTAACCTGTACAAGTGTCAATGTTCCCAGGCCGGGTGTGGTGGCTCACGCCTGTAATCCCAACACTTCAGGAGGCTGAGGCGGGCAGATCACCTGAGGTCAGGAGTTCAAAACCAACATGGTGAAACCTCGTCTCTACTAAAAATACAAAAATTAGCCGGGTGTGGTGGCACGTGCCTATAGTCCCAGGTACTCAGGAGGCTGAGGCAGGAGAATGGTTTGAACCTGGGAGGCGGAGGTTGCAGTGAGCCAAGCTTGCACCACTGGACTCCAACCTGGGTGACAGAGGGAGACCCTGTCTCAGAAAATAAAATTAAAATAAATTAATGTCACTGTCAGTGTCCCCAAAGACAAAGAACTGTTCTGTTCCAGATTATAGAAAAGACACATGGCAATTAGAGGCAACGTGTAATCCTGGATCAGACCCTGGACCAGAAAACGCCTCCTTTCCATTGTTACGAAATACATGTGTGGGACAATTGGTGAAATTAGGGCAAGGGCTATAGATGAGTGTTGTCTCTGTGTTAACTTCCGGATTTTAACTTCTGGGTTTAAATAACTGTACTGTGCCTATGTAAGAGGATATTCTTGTATTTAGGAAACAGGCACGGAGGATTTGGGGAAAACTTACTCTCCAGGGATTCGGAATATAGACATGCCTCCAAGCTCACGCACTCACCTTTAGGTCCTGCGTCACTCCTGCTTTGGTAAATGGCCCTTCTTGTTTGACTGCTTTGTAATCCAACATCTGTGGATTGAAACAGGAACAGCGACTATTGGGAACTGCAGATGCAGGGTGGAAGTCAGAGGCAGGAGAGATCCCCCTGTGCTTCTGTTCCTCCCTTAGGGCTAGGGCAGGGGGAAGCTGGTGGCCCTACGTGTGCAGAAGATTCCTCTATCCTTCCTCTTTCAGCTCCTCTCGTTCCACCCTCCTCCTGGCTCCTTTCGTCCCTTGGACAGCCAAGCCCATTCCCACCTCGGGCCTCAGTGCATGCTGCCTCCTCTGCCTAGAAGGCTCCTCCTCTGCCTGTGCAAGGCCAGCGCCTTGTCTCTCAACTCTCAGCAGCTCAACGGAAGGCCTTTCCCCACCACCCACTCTACAGCAGTCACCCAGCCATGTCTCCCTGTCTTGATTCCCAGCAGAGCAGGTAACACTACTGAATCAGTCCTTGTTCATGTATGTATCTGATCGGTTACAGTGTGAAGTTCTATGAGAGCAAGAACCCTCAGTGCATCCCCCGGCACCTGGGACAGGTCTTGACCCCTAAGATCAGCGAATGACCCCTGACTCCAGGTCACTTCCCCACGGATCTCAGGCCTGGCTGCTGGCATGTCCTCAAAAGAGCTTCTTACTTTGGTCGGCTCTGGCTTCAATTCCAGGCAAACTGCCTTGTAGTTCTTGCTCTGCAGAAAGAGGAGGCTGGGATTCAGGCCGGCAGCCATCAGGATTGAGGAGGAGAACATCCGGTCCTTGCAAGGGGACCCCGCCCCTCCCCCTGCTACCCCCATGCAACCCTGCCTGCCCAGCTGATGGGCTCAGGCTCGCAGACCCCGAGGCACCCGGATCTGATTCCTGGCAACTCAAATCTTGGTGTGCTGTCCTCTTCCTGTGGGCGTGTGCCTGCCCATGCAGCAGGCAGCCCTCTCCCTGCTGGAGGGGCCAGTGTGGAGAAAGCACTTTAAAATAACTAGAAGCCAGCCCGGAAGTGTTTCCAGGGCAAGGGCTTTGGCCATAGGCAGATTTGGGCTCTAATCGCAGCTGTCCTCTCTACTAGCTTGGTCAATTTGGGTGCGTTGCTTAGCCTTTCTGAGCCCCCATTTCCTCATCTGTAAAATCGTGGTGATAATGATATTTATCTAATAATGTTATTTTAAGCCTTAGACCTGCTGGTTAGATGCTGGTAGGTCTGGTATGGATCGTGGAACCATGAGTGGTCTTGGAGGGAGGAGTGCTCCCTCGGCAGTGCTCCTCATCCCCAGAGGGAGGCAGCAGAGGCCTCTTTCTTCCCACCCCAAGCCCAGGGATTACTCTCACACCTCTTTCAGGCTGAGAGACTGCTTTATGCTCAGAACAGAGAAAGAAATACCAGAGGTTCATGGAGTGTTCTCTGTGTCCCCTGACCCCGCCACCATCTCCATTCAGTAGGAGCTCAGAGAGGCCCCAACCTGTCCAGCAATGTCCCTCTTTTACCAGATTTGTTTTCTTCAATTCTGCCCTCTTGGCCGACATGATGGAGGAGGCCAGGGTGTTCTTCAACTCCCCACAACAGCCCCCAGGACCAGGCCACTGTCCTATGCAACTTACAGGTCCAGGTATGGGCAAGGTGACCACCTCTTTGTGTACAGAACAGCTGAGGTCACAATGCCAGGTCCCACATGCTGGTCCAGAGTGTCACCACAGCTTCAGGCCTGGGGGGCCTTGGCCCCTGAGAGGAGGGGCTCAGGACAGGTTTCAGAGCCACCAGGCCTCCCTCTCACAGCAGAAGGAAAGTCCACACTCAGAAGGACCATGGCCTGCTACGGCTGAGGCACAAGGCACACGTGAGAAGCAGCGGCTCCTTCTGCAGCAGGACTCACACACGGACTCAGAGGATACACTCCAGGGACAGTCAGCTTCTCCTCTGAGCACGCAGCCCATGTCCTCTGCTGTGCGTTCCTCACGCGAATGGACCCCACCTCAGGCCAGAAGCCACCTGGGGTTGGGGGATGGCCTGAAGTCTCTGGTTCAATGTACATGTGCCGTCTTACCTAACCTGGGTTACTCTGTGTGAGGTGGGGTAGCCAATCTCAGTAGGATGGTTTCTCATGTCTCTGGCCGCACAATGCCCCTGTCCCACAACCACCCCCCGCCCACCTAAAAAGTCTCTTTGCCTAGCTCTTCTATCTTCCTGGAAGAGGGTTGGGACATGAAGCTAAAGACAAGAAGCTTTGGGGGTGAATAAAAAAGAATGCTAAAGAAAAGTCCGTTCTGAGGGTGGCCATAGTTTGTGCTAAAGTAGACAGAGGAACATGGCATCCCACGGGATCAAAAGTCGCTGGGAATCTGGGTTGGTGAACTTGATTTCTCTTTTCCTTTGATCACCGGGCATTCCACTTCCTTCTTCCCTCTCTTTTCAACTGCTAGTTGCACAGAAAAGGCCAGCGCGGATGTCTGAGGACAGACAGCACAGGAGTACAGGAACTCATGCAAATTGCATGTGAATGACATGCCCACACATGCCACTTCTGATCACACGCATCCTCCTGTTTCATGCATCTGCTGGGGCCTATCCTTCCCACAGGCCACTGGAACCCTAGAGCTACCTGCAGCACTTCAGATGCATTTCCTTGGTGGTGATTTCCCAGCCCAAACACTGGCGACAGCTGTGGGTTTTACTCCATCACAGCCCGAGGAGAATGTGTCTGTCCCTGCATCACGGGAAGGAGAAGGAGTTGGGGATGATCACCAGCTTCCCAGGCCTCACTTTCCCCACTTGTAAATGAGACGCTGGAACTTTTAAATTTCCTTGGACCATTCATTTCAGCCCTCCCAGATCTGATGGCCTCCTGGTAGAAATGCCCTTTCTCCAAGGAAATGACAGGGAAAACGACTGACTCCATCTCAACCTCCACCAGCCCCATGAAAATGGACCCCATCTCCTTCTGCTAGTTTTGGCTTGGGGGCCTCCCGGACCTGCAGCAGAACTTCCCTTGCCTGACTGAGCAGTTGTTAAATGAGCTGCCTTCTAGCCAGGCATAGCACATGAGCCCACTGGCGTGTCTTTTAGGAAAGAAGGTCTAAGAGAAATCAAGGTCTGAATGCAAAACCACTTTATAAAGTAAAAAATTATCTATGTATATATACACCTGTGCACATGGTACCATCATTTGGGCAGAACCTTAACTACAGACCTAGAGCTCTGGGCTTGTGCCTTCTCACAGCATTTACTATTCACGTTCTCAAATATTGTAACCATTGTTTTATTAATATGCTCTGGAGGGGCTGGGGGAGTGCATGTGGTGAACCTGAATGATTATTTATCTATTAAGGGACAGGATCTTGCTCTTTTACCCAGGCTGGAGTGCAGTGGTGTGATCATGGCTCATTGCAGTCTTGAAATCCAGGGCTTAAGTGATTCTCCTTCCTCAGCATTCTGTGTAGCTGGGACCACAGACATGCGTCACCCGCCCTGCTAATTTTTAAAATTTTTTGTAGAGACAAGGTCTCACTATGTTGCCCAGGCTGGTCTCGAACTCCTGAGCTCAAGGGATCCTCCTGCCTTGGCCTCCCAGAGTGCTAGGATTGCAAACGTGAGCCATCCTGCCCAGTCTGCATAATGATTTTCATATTCTTTTAAGAAGCTTTGCTCCCGCATGAGAAGCTAGGTTGAAGCGGTGTTGCAGGGTTGGTATTGCTGTGGTATAACTTTGTTCTAGATAAGCCATAGGATGTTCTTACCCGAAGAATGCCAGACATGCTTTTCCTAATCCCCCTTCGAGCAAAATCCATTTGTACCAGGGCAAGCAGCATAGAGCCCACTGCTGTTCCATCGGAGTTTGGGGAAAAAGGAATATTCACAACAGACAGAACGAAGAAGCCACCTGTCTTTGTTTTCCAAGTTGATATCATTTTCTTTACAAGCATCCTGCTTTTTTTTTTTTTTTTTTTTTTTTTCACTTTTATGAATACAGTGTTGTGTGGGGAGGCTGGGGTTGGGGGAGTTTTAAAATGGTCTTAGTCCCCTGAGTTTGTCCTCTTGTGATCTGGGGTCCAGCCCATGATGAGGTCCAGGCTCAGCCACTCCCCACATCAAGGCCCAAAGAACATTAAGAGAATGTCATGTGTGCCAAGGGGCCTATTGACCACGGGGGGCCCGGTGTTCTAAAGCCCTTTGATTAGTGTGGAATGTTTCACAAAGACCCAGAATTCAAACAGACATAGCTCAATACATGTGACCTAGACGATTCACACTTAGGATGCCTCGCTGTTTACATCCCAACAGACTGGAGTTTCTGGGTGGGTGCCCTCAGCCAGAGACGATCTCTGACTCACAGCCCCAAGAGAACCTCTTACATAAAATTTTTAGAGTTTGCATATGATTCATTCCTGTGTTGTCCTGCTTGACTGATTTCTAGACACCTTGGAAGGCTTTACTCTGCGCAGGGTACAAATATCTTTGATCATTGACACACTGAGCACTAGGCAATTTCTGATCATTTTTATCATAGTGATCAGACCTTGGCTAGAATCATAATCCTATTAAGTTGTTTCTGTGGAAAACTTATATCCAGTTTTTATCACATGTACTTCCTGGTACCTCTGTTTCAGGAACTAAACATAACAATTGGAACAGATCATTGTAAATCTCTGGCTTTTTCAATACAGCTAATGACAAGTGAAAAGTCAGAACAAACGTACTGTGGGAGGATCTTCTCTCCTGTAAGTTCGCCATGGCAGGCACATGCTTGCCAGGGCCTCCCGAGAACCAGGGGAACCCGTTACTATTCCCACAACCAACCATCACAGGGCACCTGGCGTGTGAGATAAAGCCAACGCCGCCAGCCAGCAGAGCTCTCCCTGCTCCTGCCAAACACGGCCCCTGAGGCCTCCTTACTTAGCCCGTTCCCTTTACCCTCTTTGGACGGAACCCAAATAGAGTACACTGATGATTTCACACCTGCCTCTCTCAGCCTCCCTGCTGGAAGGTGCTCTGCGGTTGCAATTTCTGCCCCTAAAATCCTCCTTTCCTTCTCTGACAGCTTCAAATTCCCAACCATCACTGAAACAATCAAACCAAGTGGCACAGTAGTAGACTCTTGGGACTGGCCTTGTTGGGGGCTATGCTTCATACGGGGTCCATGGAGGGTGGAGCGTCTCAGATGGGAGGGCTCCTTGGGTTAGTCCTGGGAACAGCCCTCGTCGCTCCCACTCACATTTCTTTGGCTGGAACATAATCGCAAGGCTGTACCTCCCTGCAAAAGAGGCTGGGAAACGCGGCCAGGTTTCTCCCAGGACTAAGAGGAGACAGGCTTAAAGGTTTAATCTCCGCCACACTTCCCTGACACATTTCATCTTCCTTATTCCGCTCTAGCAAGTCTCCTCATAAGAAAACTTGATTTAGAGTTCTGCTCTTAGTGTAAAAGGGAAGTAGCTTACAAGGTCCCAAAGGGAAGCCAGTGGCTGGGTGTGGTGGTGCACGCCTGTGGTCCCAGCGACTTTAGAGGCTGAGGTGGAAAGATCGCGTGAGCCCAGGAGACCAAGGCTGAAGTGAACTAGGATCACACCACTGCACTCCAGCCTGGGCAACAGAATGAAACCCTGTCTAATTAAAAAAAAAAAAAAAAAAAAAAAAAAAAATGGAAAAAACCTGCACTGGAGACTCAAACGGAATGAAATGTCCTAGCAAATGTGAACTGGAAGAGTTAGGATTAGGGTTAGCGACTCACCTCTGTGTCACCTGAATGGCCAGTGGGCTGGAGCACTGAGACGGAGACCGTAACAGTGGTTTGTTATACGTTTGTATAACTGTCCAGGGCTTTCCAGTGCAAGCGTTCCGTCTATCCCAGTCCCGTTCTGTGCAAGGCTTTGCAAACCTCCTCCCACCACAGGCTTCTCCCCTCCCGCGGTACCAGAATGTGGGGCTGGTCTACAGCTTCTCTTGCTGTCCTAAGCCCTCTGAGTAGCACTGGGGCCCAACCAGGTTGCCCTGGCTTTGCCAGCCCCTTCCTGGGGTGTGGGCCCTGCTGCTGTCCTCTTGGCTGAGAATCCATAACTTGCTTCAGCTGAACCTTTGTGTCCACCTGAACTTGATTCCTGTCTGGAGTTGCCAAATACTGGGCCCCACCCACCAGACTTGGCAACAACTCAGATTGAGCCAAAGTTTTTCAGAACCTGGAGATACTGACTGCTGGTTGGCATCTGGTGGGGGGTAAGCCTGGCCACTGACTCTTCTACAACAGGTTTACCTCCTTCCCTTGAACGTTCTGCCCCCGAGGTCCTTAGGACCTCAGAGCTGAGTCCATGTGAACATTGGCTCAGAAGGTTTGAATCTTCCTCTCTTGCTAGGGCTTCAGGCCTGGGCTGGAGACACAGCATCTCTCTTATTTTATTTATTTATTTATTTTTGAGATGGAGTTTCACTCTTTTCACCCAGGCTGAAGTGCAATGGGAAGATCTTGGCTCTCTGCAACCTCCGCCTCCCAGGTTCAAGCAATTCTGCCTCAGCCTCCCAAGTAGCTGGGATTACAGGAGCCAGCCATCACACCTGGCTAATTTTTTGTATTTTTAGTAGAGATGGGGTTTTGCCATGTTGACCAGGCTGGTCTCCAACTCCTGACCTCAGCTAATCCGCCCACCTCGGCCTCCCAAAGTGCTGGGATTACAGGCGTGAGCCAGCATGCCTGGCCTACAGCATCTCTTACCCGGAGCTGTGGGGTGGTGATAAAAGTGAGGGAACTTGTAAAGCCAAGAGTCTCAGAGAGAGCTGAGGTCAATGTGCTCAAGAAAGCTGGTTAAATGGGTCTCCAAACAGAGGAGCCGAAGGCAGATCCTGAGAGCTCTGTTGGAGAGACCCGGGGGAGAGAACAGAAGTCAGGGAACTGGTCCTAGCACAGACATGGCCAGCCTGGGAGGTCCTCAGGGGTGACGGGTGGTGAGTAGGGAGAATCTGGGTGCATTTAAAGACTAAGAATTAGGCAGCTTCCAAGGTGTTTACTCCTTTCTTCTTGTTACATCACTGAGCTCTATGCAGGGCTATGGATTTTTTCTCTTGTTGGCAAAGAGCATTAGTAGAATGCTCATAAACAGGCTGTATCATTTTCTACAACTTAGATTCAATAAATTTTATGTTCCTCTCACATTTCATGGCAAAATATTTTTCTTCTCTTATTTAGTTTAGGTTTAACAAAGTTAAACAGTATACATCCAGACTCATGTTGATATGCTGGACATAACATTGGGTTGTGTTTGGCTCCAAGTCACACACTGAAGAAACTCCCCGAGGGGCATCCTGTTTGCATCTGTGAGCGGAGCGAGGGAGCCGCTCCCTGATCAGCCCATCTCCAGGCTGGCTCCGAACATCACTGCTGGAAGCTTAGAGTCCAGCCTCATTCTCTAGTCCCTGCAACAATTAAATCCGCTGAATGTGGATTCTCATTGCAACTGAGAACCTAATTGACAGAGCTGGCTGCACGTTCCCGGTCACTGCAGATCTTTGGGACATCCAGGTGTGCAGAGGTAACTCCTGGCTGGTGGCCCATGAGGATACTTCCTATGGAAGCATCAAGGGTGTCTCCTTCGTGCCATATCGTGAATTCTCAGGGTAGGTCATTTCAACTCAGGACCATGAGCCAAAGGAGCCCTGACATGTTTCTATTTAAGTCTCTCACGATTTTTTTTCCCCCAGGTGCTCTCACTTGGCTGGTTTTCTGCAGCCAAACATCAGACCTTTTATTGCATCCAGACACCTGGGACAGCCTTTTCCGAACAGAGGGTGGAGCCTCCTCACCCTGTCTGCTCACCCAGCGTGCACTCTCACCAGCTGCCCGGCTCGCACAGAGCAGCCCACGGGAGACTAAATGGGGAGCTGCCAGAGCCTTCTTCCTGAGGCTTCCCACTCCTGCCCACATGTGGCTCTCAGGTGTTCTTGAGCCGCGTGACAAACCAACACCTCGAAAAGAACCCTCTGGGGCCCTGGGCTCCAACTTGAAGCTGAGGAAGAGGCATAAGTGACATTACTCCCCTGGGTGGCAACATGTATGAAAATTGCCCTCAAGGGAAAGACAACTTGGATTGAATCAAACACTAGAGCAAGCTGCACTCATTTGCCAAATCCCCTAAACACACATGTTAATTTTTTATCTACTTATTGATTAAACCCCATTGATCCCCTTCTTGTGCCCCTGTCGCTCTAAAGACCATGATGATCATCCAGAGAGACCCAGCCAGAGAAACATGGATCCCGGGGCCCACCCGGCTCTCAGCCCCACAGCTCGCTAGCAGGCGAAAGCTCTGGGCCAGGCTGGCTCTTAGCAAGCAGCTCTAGTTCAACATGCAGTGACACCACACGGATTCCCCTGTTCACTCAGCTCAGGCTTCCTGAGCATTTACCGTGTGTCCAGCACTCTGCGAGGCACCAGAGGCACACAGAAAATTAAGACATGGTGCTGGCTCCCAGGAACTCACTATCCATCAGGCTCACAGAGGCAATTGACCATTTTAGCACAAGATGGTAAATGTGACGCTTGCGGTAGACCCAGGGAGCTGACGGAGCCCAGAGGAGGAGCACAGCCCAGCTACTGGGGCTAGGTTTCCGCCATGTTCATCTGGACCTCATTCCTGGCCTGGTGAGCTCCCCAATACCCTGGTTCCCCTAAATCCTAGCTCCCCTAAATCCTAGCTCCTCTAAATCCTAGCTCCCTAAATCCTAGCTCCCCTAAATCCTAGCTTCCTAAAGCCTAGCTCCTCTAAATCCCAGCTCCCTAAATCCTAGCTCCCTTAAATCCTACCTCCCCTAAATCCTAGCCCTCTAAATCCTAGCTTCTCTGAATCCACAGCAGGAGCCAGGCAGGGCCACTGAATGCCAGGCTTTGCCAGTGCCGGCACCTGCCTGAGCCTCTGAAGACAGCATACCCCCTCTGCTCATAAGGGGGAGTTCCCATGCATGCTGAGCCCTGGGGGGCAGTGTGCGCACCTGTCATATCAAATGGCCCTTCCTTCCATCAGAGACTGAGCTAGCCTGTCCCAGCAGGAGTGCTGCATACCAAATCAGCCCTACCTGTCTGCTCCATTGGCCCACGCTCGCCTTTACCTGGCCTTGTCACTGCACACAGCAGTTTACTGGACTTAAATCTACACATCCTCTAAGACCGAGGAACAAGAAGGTGTTCTCTGAGCTGTGTGTGTGTCAGATTGATATTTCACAACATGGGGGTCTGGGCAGCTAACATATTCTTGTTCTTGGAGGTCCTGTCATTCCTGCCTCAGGAAATAATGTGCTATTCATAAACACGGCAACCCTTGGGTTCTGAGTATTGTTTCCTTCAGCTTTCAGTGCTCAGAGAATTAGAAAAATGGCAGCTGGCTAGGCGCGGCGGCTCACACCTGTAATCCCAGCACTTTGGGAGGCCAAAGCGGGTGGATCACCTGAGGTCAGGAGTTTGAGACCAGCCTGGCCAACATGGCAAAACCTCATCTCTACTAAAAATACAAAAATTAGCTGAGCGTGGTGGTGGGCACCTGTAATCCCAGCTACTTGGGAGGCTGAGGCAGGAGAATCGCTTGAACCAGGGAGGCAGAGGTTGCAGTGAGCTGAGATTGCGCCACTGCACTCCCACCTGGCGGCAGAGTGCGACTCCATCTCAAAAAAAAGAAAAAAGAAAAATGAGAGCCGCAGAAGTCCACATGAAGGACTCTGTGCAGAGCCCGCCTGGCGACCGTGAGACTCCTCTCACTGACACAGTAACCTTACCTGGCCTTCCTGCTGCTCCTCTGGACGCCCCACTGTGCCTCCACTTGACCCGCCGCTTCATCTCCTGGCCGAGCGCATCTCCTCCCTCAGCTGTGGCACTCACGGCCCGGCCGCAGGGTAGCTGACCACTAGGTGGACTGCAGGATCCGCCTCTCCTGACCTTCCTTCCGGGGCAGTCCCAGCAGGAGACCCCAGGCTCCCAGGCCCCTCCCCCAAGACCTTGGGCCCTGGCTGTTGGGATGCCAGCTCCTCCCTCCTCCCTTCGTCCTGCTGGAGACCTGCAGTTCACCCAACCCCATGGTTCCTGATACCAAGGCAAAGTCTCCTAGCCCAAGGACATTTCTCTCCCAGCTCAGCGCCCGTCCTGCTGTCATTCACAGCGCTTCCTCCCCTGGCACCTGGCTAATATGAGAGCATTTGTCCAAACCCCCACCCCACCTTTTTTCCAGGACAGAATATCCCATTTTTCAGATTCCCTTGAGCAGCCCTCAGCCACAGCTGCACCTGCCACAGCCCCTTCTGAGCTCCAGACATCCTCTCAAGAGTGCAAACCCCAGCTGCGTGTCGGTCCCTCCTGGGGGAGTCCCTGTTCCCACCTCTGTAGCCTCCTGTGGGCCCTCAGCCCGTTTCCATAGCTTGGCTCACACCTAATGGGAGGGCAGCTTAGGAGCCGGGCACAGATGGCACCATTTCCTCGGGGAAGGGTGGATGGCTCAGGCTTAAGGAGACGTTGATCTGTCCCACTGCTAAAGAAGGATTTTTGGTTACCCTGAAGAGGAGCTTGGGGCCTACACCCTCTGCACCAGTGTGTTTCTGGTGGCCCTGCCAATCTTCCTCGCAGGTCCCTCGAGTCAATGGTTTGCCTGCTGGGATATAGGGAACCACTGTTATAAACTAGCTAGTGGCTTGAGCAAGCAGTGTGTGTGTGTGTGTGTGTGTGTGTGTGTGTGTGTTTCTTGGAGATGGAGTCTCACTCTGTTGCCCGGGCTGGAGTGTGGTCACATGATCTCAGTTCACTGAAACCTCTGCCTCCCAGGTTCAAGCAATTCTCCTGCCTCAGCTTCCCGAGTAGCTAGGACTACAGGCACACACTGCTGCACCCGGCTAGTTTTTGTATTTTACTAGAAATGGGGTTTCACTATGCTGGCCAGGCTGGTCTCGAACTTCTGAGCTCAGACAATCTGCCTGCCTCCCT